TCCGGGTAGTTCTATTATGGTTCGGAATATTGGCTCTGATCTATTGAGTCGGAGAGACATTTCAATTAAATTATTGTCGTATAACATTTTGTAAATGTTTTTGTCTAATTTCTAATCTAATTTTGGTTAATTCTAATCTAGTAAGGTCTTGTTCGAGACTTATGGTCGCACCAGATGAGTTAGGACCGAAGTGTAACTCATAGAGTAATTTCGGATAGGGTACACCGTCTGCCTCACTGGTCGCACCAGATGAGTTAGGACCGAAGTGTAACTCATAGAGTAATTTCGGATAGGGTACACCGTCTGCTCGTCACGCTATCTTATTTTCGGCCGGATAGATTCGTGCAACTTCTTAGTCTAATACCGATCCTAATCTTACTCTTATACTATCTAGTCTCAGGTTGTTTAACTAGTCTCTGCTAGGCTCAATAGATCTAGGGTATACTGGTTTATTGCGGCTGCTGAAGTGCTCGGGAGAGTCCAACTAATTTCTAAGTTAAATTCAAATCTCTCTGGTGCTGAAATTACAAGTAACTTCAGCACTTACAAATAAGTGGGTTGTTAGTTAGATGGATCATGATTGGTTAATATTAAATACTTTACATTGGTAAAACATTTAATTTATCCAATCATAAAATATAGTTTAGATCAGGTTCCATTGTTCTAGAATGTTTCAAACTGGCCATTAATTATTCAAGATTGCTGAAGAACTTCCATACACAATATTAAATTAAGCCCCAATAAATTAGTAAGTAATTTTAATTTGAAAACAAAGTTATGGCTAAAAAATGCTAAAAAAACATTTCACGACTTAATTTGTTTAAAAAGTTCTGGATTAACTAAAACTGAAATATTGAGCCATACAACATATTGTTCTCATATCTCTACTCAACATTTAACTTAAAAAAATCTGGTTTACAAATAATTTTTGATATTTTGAAATTTTCAATCTTTTTTTTGCATTTCAATTAGCTGATAGAAGTTTCTTGAATATTCTAGAATACTTTTCGATTAAATTTAGCTCTACTGAAACATGATTTTTACTAGTTCCTTAGTCAAATCAATCCAACGAGAATGAGCTGTCGAAAAGTTAATAATAACGATTGTATGGATACCGACAGCCAAAAAGTCACCAAAACTTTAAATTCTTCAGAGTGAAAAGTATTTGATTCGGGTTGAAAAACAACCCTGGCTTATTTGCAATAATTGCTTTAGAGATCAATGAAGGTTTTGGTTTTGAAGTTTTTGGTTTGTTTTTTTAACGGATTTTTTATGCAATTTTGAGACTTTTTTGTTTGTTTTCAGAGAGAATAATTTCAAAAAGAGATGGAAAAACTATGCAACAGTAGACGCCAAAATCTTCTAATGTGGAGGGCTGCAAATATAAATTGGTCACAAAAAAAACCAATGCAAACTTTTCAAAATGATTTCGTTTTTGGCTAAAAAATTGGTACAAGCAAAAAATAACACACATCTGAATTCAAACATGTAAATATAGGTTTAATATTTATGATTTCATTTCGCATTTAGTAGAGTGCTTATTAGGCATACATTTTAGTTCTAATATCTAATAAAAAAAAATCTATTGTAATTGAGTTTCATTAGCAGCTCAGTAGACATTGGTTTTTTACAAACAGAAAATTTACATTGAAATCGAAGATACTTGAAATCAAGGAAATTTACAGACATTGGACCTTTAAAAATATTTACTAATTGAAAGTGAAAAAACAGTACACAAAAATAATTTTTCAAGCCTAATCTAAGGAATTTATGATTCAATTACAGGCACTAGTTATAAGTTTAATGACTTTGTACAAATTCCATCTATGAGCACACGACATTAGCAATAAAAAAAAGTTATGGAATTTTTAAATTGTTTATACGTTTTATTCTGCTCCTTAACTAGACGGAAACCTCAATTGACACCTTCAAAAAGTTTTTAAATTGGAAGTACCCTTTTGTATTTTTTCCAAAGGACAGCTGATGTTTCTGTATGAACCCATCATTGTCATTCTTACGTATCAGCGTGTTCATTGTAGTCGCAGTAGGTATCTTTGTTCAGGAACACCATTTTAATTGCACTTAAAAAACACTTCAACTTGAAAAAAATTCAGGTGTTCTATGGTGGAACTTTTTTGTCTGGTGCAGCAAACACGCGGTAAGAAATTAATGAAACCTTTCTTAATCTGGTAATGAAGTCAGAAAAAAAGTTTTTGCGTTCTTTTCAAATGCTGGAGTAGCAGAAATTTTATTGTTCCGACTTTCGATACGAAAGTAACGGAATATTTGTGCTCGGGGTGGGTTTTTTTTTCTTCAGACAAATTTCGACTTTTTAACTAGCCATTTTTGACGGAATTTTTTTATATCATTCGAAAGGTATTGTTGTCTTGAGCTCAAATTTGAAAAGATACTTCACCTGTGATCATTTTTCGTAAAGTTATGGGGGTTTAAAGATTGCCGTTTTGGCCAATTTGGGACAATAAACGCGCGATATTTTCGCGCTATTAACGCGTAAGCGGCGAGTTAATCCGTCTTAAATATCGTTTCAAATTGGTTTAACGAAACTTATTTGCCATAATTGATTTGTTACAAGTAGCGAAATCTATTCTTTTGTACTTTAAATGGCGTGTGGGGGGATGATTTTAATTAAAAAATTTCCATTTTTGGAAATTTTTTTTTGTTTCATTTTGTTTCACTACTTTTAATTTTTTAATGCTATTACTGCTCCAGAAACCTTAATAGACAGTCGGAACATTCAGGACTTCGCCCTGATACGAGCAGTCTTGTTGGAATTTGGGAAACATTTTTGTTCCGAATTTTGATACGAAAGTAACGGAATATTTGTGCTCGGGGTGGGTTTTTTTTTTCTTCAGACAAATTTCGACTTTTTAACTAGCCATTTTTGACAAGTGTTTTTAATATCATTCGAAAGGTATTGTTGTCCAAATTTGAAACGATATTACACCTGTGATCATTTTTCGTAAAGTTATGAGGGTTTAAAGATTGCCATTTTGGCCAATTTGGGACAACTAACGCGCGATATATTTCGCGCTATTAACGCGTAAGTGGAGAGTTAATCCGTCTTAGAAATCGTTCCAAATTAGTTGAAAGAAGCTGATTTGCCGTAATTGATTTGTTACAAGTAACGAAATCTATCCTTTTGTACTTTATATGGCGTGTGGGGGATGATTTTCATAAAAAACTTCAAATTTTAGAAAAAAAAATTTCATTTTTTTACATTTAATTTTTTAATGTTATTGCTGCTCCATAAACCTTAAAAAGCAGTCGCAACATTCAGGGCTTCGCCCTGATACGAGGAGTCTTGTTCAATTTACTGTTCGATGGTAACTCGATTCCTTTTTCCTCTCGCATTAAGCGCATAGACTCTTAATTACATATCGTATATCTCAGCGGTCAAAAGATGATATCACGCTGTGGTACTGAATGTTTCCCTATAAGGAACAAACGCCAAATTGCTGTTCGAAACTTTTTAATAACCCCAATAACTAGAAAGTAGGGTAGGAAAAAATTCGAAAAGATTCTCCGATTAATCTCCGACCTAATAGGTCAAGCCACTTGATTCCCAAGTTGGTTCAAAAGTTCAACAATTTGTGCTCTTCGCTTACTTACTGAAAGTTTGAAAAATCCTATACTGCTGGATCGCCCACAAAATTTTGGGAACAACCAGACATCAACCCTACACCCAAAACCCACCGCCCTCCAAAGATGTAAATTCAACCCTACTCCTACCCCTTTGATCACTTGAACACACTAACGGTCCTTGTGGCTGACACAATAATCGGCTGTGCGCACCCACTCCTATTGTGAGCACTCATTCTTCATTTTGCAAGTAAAAATGACAAAATAAACATATATTGTCGCTCCCATCTATATCAGCTACTGATTCGAAAAACATGAAGGATTTGTCTCAAAAGACAGAACTGATAAAGTGAGTTCACAACATGAAACAAAGATGAAACGCCGATCGCTCTGGGCATTTAGCATAGAATGTTCCGACTAAAATAGTTTAAGAAAAAAATAAACTAAAATGAGAAACTTAAAATAACGAGAAAAATTTTATTCCTTTTTTCTATATTTCATTCATTTTTAATTTAGGCGATTGATTTAGATGAATAACCGCAAGAATGAGAATCAAATCGCTAAAAAAGAGTAGAAATTTAGTGCTAAAATCATGTTAAAAGTTTACTGGGAGGTCAGCCTCTAATCAATTTTTTTCTAGTTTAGTCTGAAAACCAAAAACTTTCAGACCAGTTTTTCTCGTCCCTGAGAGATTGTTCTACCGAGTTTTCCTCGATATAGTCCAAATTGGCTGACAAATGACGAACAGAATCCAATGTCCTTCAATGCTTCGAAAAGGCCGGAACAAAAAGTAAACTAATAATAACAAGACTGCTCGTATCAGGGCGAAGCCCTGAATGTTCCGACTGCTTTTTAAGGTTTATGGAGCAGCAGCAGCAGTAAAAACATTAAAAAATTAAATGAAATAAAATAAAATGAAGTTTTTTTTCTAAAATTTGCAATTTTTTATGAAAATCATCACCCCACACGCCATTAAAAGTACAAAAAGACATATTTCGTTCCTTGTAACAAATCAATTATAGCAAATAAGCTTCGTTCAACCAATTTGGAACGATTTATAAGAGGGATTAAATCTCCGCTTACGCGTTAATAGCGCGCATTATATCGCGCGTTAATTGTCCCAAATTGGTCAAAATGGCCAAAATGGCAATCTTTAAACCCTCATAACTTTACGAAAAATGATCACAGGTGAAATATCTTTTCAAATTTAAGCTCAGGATAACAATACCTTTTGAATGATATAAAAAAATTCCGTCAAAAATGGCTAGTTAAAAAGTCGAAATTTGTCTGAAGAAAAAAAAAACCCACCCCGAGCACAATTATTCCGTTACTTTCGTATCGAAAGTCGGAACAATTACTGTCGTATCGAAAGTCGGAACAAAAAGTTGGAACAACAAGCTATTATAGTAACATTTCGACCATCGTTATGTTGTGCAAATATTAGCGAGCCACAAGCAAGTACAAAAGTTCATTGTTGTTGAACTTACTCAAATGAATACTTCTTTCAATTTTCTTACTCCGAAAAACCTATTCATATTCGTGTTATATTGTTGTTTTGTGTCCATCCAAGTAAAGCCGGAAGTTTCTATTCCCGTTGGGCCCACTAGTGTGAATAAATCTCGTATTTCGACAGTTCTTGGAGGTCACCGTAGTCCAGCTCGACTATTTTATGTGCAAGTGACTCAACTGACGCCGAGTGCCGACAGAAAATTGATGTGTGGAGGTACCATCATCCACGAGGAGTGGGTGCTCACAGCGGCACATTGTGTCAGCCACATACACCGTTGGTGTCTTCAGGTGTTCAGGGGGGGGGGGGGGGGTGACCTAGGGTTTTTGGAGGCGGGGGAGGGGGGTTATGGCGTGCATGGGGTGAAGGGCTCATGTTTGGTTATTCACAAAATTTTTGACAGTTTATTCCTATTGAAACTCTTTCTTAGTTCGGCCAAATTTGTTTTCCACGCGCTCTAAGAAACTTCAATGTTCAAATGAAATTGCAAGACGAAACGTTTGTCGTTGCTTCGGTTTGTTGAAAAAGTTTGTCCATTTTTAGACAGCGAGTTTTAAGAGCCCTCTCCTGAAAACGCCAAAACCATTAAAAATTCCGAAAACTTAAAAAAAACAATTTCAGCGCTTTTGGAGATTTTTCAGAAAAAATAATGTCGCGCCAACTGCAATAAAATACATTTTCTCAAACATCGTGTACTTATTTCTGGCATTATCGAAGTTATATCAGAAGCTGAAACTTATAATTTTAATAAAACCATCTTGAACACACATATTCTGTCCTTTTCTTCGAACTTCGGAACCAAAAAAATGTGTTTTATTGTAGCTAATGATATTGCTGTGAGGACAGGAGATTTCACTGAAGAGGACAGTGAGAAAACTGAAGTACTGGTGGAGCAGATCTTTTGGTACGCCGACTACACGTATGTCTACAGTCTACATGAGGGCTCTCTTGAGTTGTCTACACGAGGGCTCTCTTTTCTGATTCTGGGGGAAGACGGGGAGGGGGGCAGCGGCTAATATCGATTAAAAAGCCCCTTTTATCAATTAACAATGATCCAGAACTTAAAAAAGTTAAAAGCGAAATCGTAAAATAAGGAATGCCGAGCGTTTTTCTCTAATGAGTTTTTGAAATGCTAGCAGGTTCTTTTTCTACACCCCCCCTCCCCCATGAGCGAAAGAAAACTAAAACAATGAGGCGTTTAGAGTAAACAAACACCGACTATTTAATGACATTGCTCTGATTAAAGTGTACAACCACACCTTTCCCGGAGACCACGTTTTGCCCATTTGCCTTGAAATAGTTTCCGAGTGCCCCATTTTCGGCTTCTGTGGAACGGGATATGCTCGGCTGAACGAGCGGACCTTTTCGCCTCAGATGAAGGAAATTCTCCTGTATCAAAGAAGAGCCGGATGTTGTTGGGACTACTTGGTAAAATGTCGCGCCGACCTTGTCTGCACTCGGCGACTGGGGGCGTTCCGAGATGATAACATTTACTTCGGCGACAGCGGGGGACCTCTTTTTATGTTCGGAGAGTTTCCAGAGAACAAACCTCAATGTGTTTACGGTGTCGCGAGTTTTTTCCGTCGCTGTGAGCGGAGATTCGGAAATATTCCGCTGATTAATTGCTTCCTAGGTGGAAGTTACTTTGCAAGTGTTCCTTACTTTTCCGAGTGGATAGAAAGAACAGTATATTCGTATTATGTAGAAAATGGTTTACTTCCAGAAGAGCAGAGTGACTTACAATCAGAGCAAAATGACTTTGACACTTTAGTTGAATATTGAACAAAAGATGCCTTCGTTTCAATAAACCAAATGGTTTCAACCTTGGTTGATATTCTGTTTTATTCTGGCAAAAATCAACCAAGATTCAGTTTCGAATGAGACCTTAAAAACAGTTTATGCAATGCATTTAACAGTTAGCGTAGCGTTCTAAATAGATATTGAGTAATCATTTTTGCGCTATTTTCCAAAACTCAAAGACTGTATCAAAATGATCACCGGTAAGCAAATCAAATTTTAAGCTCAAAAAATCATTTTTCTGTTAAAAAATTTAAATTGAAAATTGAATATGTCTGGAGAAAAAGATTATCCTATATTTCATCAAGATTGCTCGTATCGGCAAGATACCCTTGTGATATCCTACGAGGTATCTTGTTGAAAAACTAATTGGTAATTCAAAGAGTATTTTCTTGGCTTTGAACAGATAGTTTTTCTCTGTTTTTTTTAGCTACTTAGAGCGGTTCTCAATTTCATACTCTGAACTCTCCGCTGTGTATCAAAAGTCTCAGATCTAAATGACCTTGGACACTTATAATAATAAAAAAATTATAACACTGAAGGTTATGGTTACAGAATCATTATTGCTATTACAGAAGCACTATCACATACCCCCTCGAGTGAATTTTTTTTTCTGATACAAGAAATAATTTATAATAGCAAGCGTTTTTAAAGCTCCGTTTTTAAAAGTTTAGTAACCGTCTGTTTGCAAAATTGTTTATTCCTTTAGTTTTCGTCCAGTTCTATCTCCAACTAGGGTTCCAGTCCACTACTTTGTCCAACGTGGCATAACCGAAATTTCTTCTGAAGAGATGTCTCTCCACTAGACTCAATCTCGACTCTATTGGCCTATCATTCCGTGTCTTGAACTCTGTTAACCGTCTTCTGTACTCTTCTAAGGCCGCTTTTAAGAGTGCTCATCCTGATAGTTCAAATGAAATTTTTCTTGATGGAATGCTTTACTGGGCCCCCAAAACGTTTTGGTTCTTTACTCTTGGTTTGTCGTGAGTTTCTTCTAACCCCTGCGTCTTCCACGTCTTTTAACCCTGTGGAGGTTCGAATTTTTAATCTTTTTCTCCAACTGACTAATTTTTTCCTCGAAGTTCGTCTGCCACCTTTTGTACCCCCTCTTGAGTACCTGATCTGTCAGAGTTTCCCACTCCGCCGGTGCCAGGTTTCTATTTTGGAATGTGCCCAGAATATTCTCGGGTTTAGTGGCCAAATCTATTTTCTTCAGTTTCGTTTTCTGTTTGCTTTTTGCCGTTGAGCTTGATTGTGGGTTGCTGTCTGGGGCAGCTGCCGTAGCAGTTTGTTTAGTTGTTGTTTCTGGCTTTTCCTTATCGTCTTGCTTTTTGGTCTTTGGTTTTTTCTCCGTTTTCCTTTATGCGACCTCTTCTTGTGTTTTCGGTCCACTTGACGAACTCGGTCCCCCTGTATTTGTTTTGGCTTTCTTGATGGCAAGGTTTAAGCCCCCCTGATTTGATGACTTCAGATAATACTATGGTTTGGCTTTGCTTAAACTGGTCTATAGGGACTACAAAGTCTGCCAGCTCAACCTGCCGTTTCAGTTCTTCATCAGAATTGCTTTCCTCCAGCTTTTCGAGGGAACTGATCTTCTGCAGCTTCTTGCGTGGCTATGCTGACGGGCTTTTTCCTGCTCCCTGAGCCTGGTCCTGCTGTAGATTGATTTTTGCTTGTGCGATGTCTGATATCCGGTATATCGATCCTGCCAAAGTCTTTTCTGCCGATCCCGTTTTCGCTGTTTTTTTCCTTTTAACGGCTTTTTGAGCGCTTCCCCAATCTTCCTTAAGTTGTCTTCACGCATAATAGTTTTTTTCCAAAAATGTGTAGGATTATCTTTTTAATCTTCGATGAATCCCTTCTCCCACGAGTAAATCATCTCTTTTCGGAGCTCAGGGTTTGACTGTCCATTTGTGTCCACAAGTCTTCGGATGTCGTTCTTCGCTGCGTCTCTACGCTTCTCGTTCCACCGAGCGTTCGCCTCCAACAGCTAGCTCCATGAGTGCTTTCACTCGCTGGCGGTCCCGATCTATGTACAGTCGATGCTTGTACAGCGGGCTGGTGTCTCTGCTGAGCTCTCCCTTTCTTACGATCTTCAAGTTTTTTCTGGGTTGATCGATTCTCCATTTGAGCTGTGACGCCTTCAATGCCAATCGTTCCAGGTGTTGTTTGTTTAATAGTCAGAGTTAGTTATAAACTTGTCAGGTAGAATCTTAAATTTATTTTTTGGAAGTCTGCCGAAGTGTGCCTGAAATGGAGATACTTGAATGGTTTTCAATTTCAAGGATTTCTAATTCGGACCGTGCTGCCGGAGCAGATAGCGCCGCATGGAATGTTTCCAAACTTTCCCCTGGTTCTTGCGTATTTGTAAAGAGATTGTACTTTTCATACGTTAGACATTTATTCTTTTGGATTGAAGCCGATGCTAGTTCCGTAATTTCGTTGAATGACATTTTGGAAATTTTAGCATGTGGGTTTTTCTATAGGAATCTTTTCTTTCCTTCTGTTCCTAGAGAGAGGAATAATCTGGATACAAGCTTCTTCTGTACCTCATTATAATAAACATTGTGACCTACCCTTGTCCCCGTGTTCTTCTCTCCTCATCCTCCAGAAAAATAACACGATCTCTTGCTAATTTGTCTCTGAGAATTCTGGCTGTTATCGTCTCCCTCGCGTGGTGTCGCTGGTTTTGGTGGTCGTTCTTCCAGTATGTCTTTTGGGTCCTCCAGCATTTCTGGGTCGACATTTTGGGTCCTCCAGCAATTTATGGGTTGACATTTTTTTTCACCGTTAACGCCATTAGAAATTGTTCCAACCAGATCTTGAATTGCCATGGTGGGTCTAGATTAGCTGTCGCCCAAAATACTGGAATTCCCGGTTGTCCTGAGCTGAGAATCTTACTGGCTGCGCCATGTGATATCCTACGAGGTATCTTGTTGGAAAACTAAAACGTAATTCAAAGAGTATTTTCTTGGCTTTGAACAGATAACTTTTCTCTTTTTTTAGCTACTGAGAGCGGTTCTCAATTTAATGCTCTGAACTTTCCGCTGTGTACCAAAAGTCTCAGATCTAAATGACCTTGGACACTTATAATAATAAAAAATTATAACACTGAAGGTTATGGTTACAGAATCATTATTGCTATTACAGAAGCACTATCACATACCCCCTCGAGTGAATTTTTTTTCTGATACAAGAAATAATTTATAATAGCAAGCATTTTGAAAGCTCAGTTTTTAAAAGTTTAGTAACTGTCTGTTTGCAAAATTGTTTATTCCTTTAGTTTTCGTCCAGTTCTATCTCCAGCTAGGGTTCCAGTCCACTACTTTGTCCAACGTGGCATAACCGAATTTTCTTTTGAAGAGATGTCTCGTCACTAGACTCAATCTCGACTCTATTGGCCTATCATTCCGTGTCTTGAACTCTGTTAACCGTCTTCTGTACTCTTCTAGGGCCGCTTTTAAGAGTGCTCATTCTGATAGTTCTTATGAAATTTCCACGACGGAATGCTTTACTGGGTCCCCAAAACGTTGTGGTTCTTCACTCTTGGTTTGTCGTGAGCTTCTTCTGACTGCCTTTGTGTCAATAAACCAGATGGTTTCAGCCTTGGTTGATATTCTGTTTTTTTTCTGGCAAAAATCAACCAAGATTCAGTTTCGAATGAGGCCTTAAGAACAGTTTATGCAATGCATTTAACAATTAGCGTAGCGTTCTAAATAGATATTGAGTAATCATTTTGCGCCATTTTCCAAAACTCAAAGACTGTATCAAAATGATCACCGGTGAACAAATCAAATTTTAAGCTCAAAAAATCATTTTTCTGTTACAAGCTTTTAATGGAAATTTGAATATGTCTGGAGAAAGAGATTATCCTATATTTCATCAAGATTGCTCGTATCGACAAAAGACCCTTGTGATGTCCTACGAAGTATCTTGTTGAAAAACTAATTGGTAATTCAAAGAGTATTTTCTTGGCTTTGAACAGATAGTTTTTCTCTTTTTTTAGCTACTGAAAGCGGTTCTCAATTTCATGCTCTGAACTCTCCGCTGTGTACCGAAAGTCTCAGATCTAAATGACCTTGGACACTTATAATAATAAAATAGTTATAACACTGAAGGTTATGGTTACATCATCATTACTGCTATTGCAGTAGCAGTATCACAACCCTCAATGATCCAGCTGTAGCTTAACCTCTATGGAATCAATTTTAACAAAATGACTAAACTTTCAAAATAGGGAAATTTTTTTCTTTTTAAAAATCAATCAGCACAAGCTTATTCCAGCACAAAGTGATGTTATTACAACTTTCCTAGAAATTAACAAAAAATGTGCTCGGTTGATCTAATTATTTCTTTTTTAATTTTATCTTCTTTTTTAATTTGGCCCGACTTTTTATGCCTTTTGAACGGTAGCCATTTTCACTATAAACTTTTATTTCAGTTATCTTGATTAATACTTGATGCAGTAAACTTACAAATGAAAGTAAGTTGTCTTAATAATCATATAATAAGGTGATCATAAAAATTATCACGAACTAGTAACTCCTGCGTTCGTAGCAGTAAAGGATGAGGTGTAGCCTTGTTTATGAAAAACTAATTAAGCTATGAAATTGTGAAGAAAACAAAACAAACATTTCTATGAAACGTAGCAAGGAAAAAAAATTGAGCCCAGATGTTCTTGATAACAATTTATTAGCAACTGCCTAAATTTGCAATTGAAGAAATTCATATTATGTTCAAAAAAACCAGCTTTGTTTGAAACAGTTAAGTTTCTTCAAGAATATTTTTTGTGGTGACATAGATCTCATTTTGAAAAAAAATCATGAAAGACAAAATTTGGCCATATCTTTTTAAAGCACGCTGTCGTTGACGAATTTGATGCAAACTGCAATTGCGTAACTACAATTGTTGTACATGGAATGTCAGTTCAGCTGGATGATGATTTTAATGCCGACTACAAGTTTTAAAAGCGAGAACAAGTTTTATGAACAAACTTGGAAATAAAAAATGGCTTTTTTCCTTACCCTCCACCTCAATCAAACATGGATTTTATGGTGTAACGAGTTGTTTTACAAGGTTAATTAAG